CATTATATCCATCAGGTACAATTACCCCTTTGATTGTGAAACTGAATGCAAATTCACAAACATTTATACAGCATATCTGAATGTGCATTAGAAATCAGCAATTGAAAAATCTGGTTTTCTTACCTTGACACCAATAATGGAATTACAGCACTACAACACATTTCCTTCTTGAATACACTTCGTAAGTAGAATACTTTTGCCTCTAGGGTGAGATGAACATTCACAATGCTCTGTCTTCTGCTTCACTTCCTCTTGGTGCTCACAAGTGTCACAGCCCCTGACAGACCTTACAAAACCAACTGAACTTCCCTCCACAGCTGCCTTTGGTTACTGCTTAAAAAAAGGGAAGCACCTATGAATCTTTAATAGCAAGAAACAAATTCCAAAGGAATATAATAGCAAAGTCTAACCAAAGACAAACTTTTAACTGAAGTTTTTCTGACCAAATGATCTTTACCCAACAATGCATATTTGCTGGAACAGCAGACTCCTAAATTGTGAATTCTTAGTGCATATGCTGTCAGGTAGTCTTACTGATCTGCACAGTTTGACCAGTGATAAGCAGCACTGCAAGGTGGCAGAAAAGGGGAAGAGATTAAACCCTTTATCATATAATCATATACTCTGATAGTGTCCAGGTATTGTTATCACAGCGTGAGCTTTTTATGATGAATGCAACGCAGGCTCAAACAATCCTCACACCTCAAATGTTGCCAAGCTGCACCCGTCATCCTTACAACAAGCATTAAAAATGCCATGTACTTGCACAGATCTTGCAAAAATAGTTGGCAGTGTGACAGGCGATGTACGCTAAGTTAGAGGAGACTCCCACACGATCACCTGGGAACTGATCCTGGTGTAAATGCCTAGTGAAGAGCTTTTCTCGCCCACCCTACACGAGTCCTTGCCACGACCACGTGCTGCCTACAGACCCTGCGGCACCCATGTTCCACTTCCCAGCCGCCACATCTCAGTGGGGGTGAAGGAGAACAAGGTGCAAATTAAGAAATTATGGAGAAGACACTTACACCATCCAGCAAACAACTGCTACGCCTTGTGCCTAGTCAGAAGCATTTTGCGATGTCTCAGAAATCAAGCACTACGTCTATAAATTCATAACCAAATTGCAACACAGGAGAGTGGGACAGAGAAGCTATGGGATGTCACCTCCATAGATATCTCTACGTGAGGCAAACCCTCCTCTTCTGCCTTGGAGACATCATCGCCAACAAACTTAGCTGCAACATTTAAGCTTGTTACACACATAGGACAATTGCTTTGTCTTGGCCTCAAAGAAGCAAATTTTGCATTGCCTAATACCTCTGCTCTTTTTAGAGAGGAACAAACACTTGGGATTTTGTATGTTTAAGAAGTGAAGCCCAAGATGGTATACAATTCATCCGAAGACTAAGTGAAGAGGGAAAAAGAACATTTGCTTGTGGACAAGGTGAGTGAACTCTTCATCATAAATTAAATTTACGCAGCATATTAGATTTCAGTATTTGAAGGTGGGTCGTGGGTTTTTTTTCTCTTTCAGACTGTTTTAACATGACATCTAACAAGAGCAATGAGGACAAAGAAGCTGGCTTTAAAATAGAACTGGACAGATTTATGACCATTATATGGGACTTTTAAAATCCTGCAACAGGAAGCCAAACTTGATGACCCAGGAGCATCTTTTCAGTCCTCATTTTTATCACCAATTTTGCTGCTGGAAGTGGTTCTGTTCCTGAAGCACAATTCCTACTCATCTCTTAAAAGTAACATCTGCCCAGAAAAGTATGAGGAAAACCAAATGAGTGGAGTGATAAAAGACAAAGTGAACAAACACTGAATCGTTATGCAAAGCTAGAAGTGTTCCCACAGCTCACAGGTAGAAACTGCCTGTGATACTTTTTTCCGAGGACACGGGTTAGTCCTGGGGGAAGAACATGAGCCAGGCCAAGCACAGCAACAAAATATTGTCAAGCAGAACAGCCAGTGCCTACTCCAAAGGTAAGTGATCATCACTGCTGTAGCAAATCCAGTTACTAGTATGGCACACGCTAAGTTACATTTATTTTATCTCCCCTTCACAATGGGATAATCTAAAATTTAAGATTTGTGGCAAGCTTGTCTAGATAACCTTCCTTTCATTCCCCACCCAATTCAGAGAAGCATACACAATCTCTTTGTAAAATAAGGACAGCAGATAACACCTGCAGAATAAACAAGGCATGTCTTCCCCTGACATAGAGAAAGATCTGAAAAGAACATGAAGGAACACTTCAGTGGTCATCTAGATAAGATCACATAAAAGACACCGCTTAATCAAGACATACTATCTCATCTTACTGTCTGGATAAATGGAGGTTCTGACACCAGAACACCATGAAATTTCATACTTACCACTTTATGTCAACTCAGGATAAAGCTTATATTGAGCTGGGCACCTGGCACATCTCACAGACTTTTAAACAAGACTTTTCCTCTATTACAACAAGAAGCTTCTAACCAGAAATAAGTCAATCTAAGCTTTTCTTCATTTCTTTATAGGCTGAGAAAGATCAAAACAAGTGATTAAGACATTTCTTTGCTTCATTAACAAACATACAAAGTTTTATTTTATTAGATTGGTTTTCTGTATGTTAACATCATCATATTAGTTATAACCCACATTCACAGCAGAAATTTTCTAATAGCATTTTGCAACACTAACTGCTGTATTAGAAATCCTTAAAAGAAACTTATCTTTAGCTACTCAGGTAACTTGAATAATAAAGTGCAAAACCACAATAAAATTTGACAGACATATGTCCCAGCTCATACTCAGTAGAAAATAAAGTTTGTGAGACCACTAGATATGGATTCACTGCACACAACAGAAGAGTGTGACCTGAAGACATCAGTTTTCAAGTTTTCCCATTACCAGAAATTGATTACAATGGATTACTTTTAAGGGTAACAAAAAAAAAAAAAAAACACAATAAGGTTACAAATAAAACAAAATGTATTGGCCAGACTACCTGAAGCTTAGCCCTATACTTGATACCCTTTTACCCAATCAAGGTTTTAGGAAGAACTGAGGAACAGGTACAGTCCATTTCCTGATAGCCTCTTTGATTTTTAACTTCAAGGAATCAATTAGCAGGAGATAACACAACATCTCCTTTGAGACCCTTTTTTTTTTTTTTATTATACCAGCAAACATAAACATGATTATCACTTAACTGACGACTGCCTACACGAGCTACTGCCCCTCTCAATCCAGTAAGACAGAAAAAAAATCTCAGAATTTTATCAGAATTAAGTCCAATTCACAAATTACAACCCAAGCTTTTGCATCTCTCCTTACAGCCACTGGTGCAGTCTCCCCAGTACCAAGCACTCTTTCACAAGACAAATCAAGTGGCAGCAGCTCTGGGTACCTTTCCCTTTCTTTTACCTGACTAATTAAATTTTCATTAAGCCCTTTGGTGCTACAATTTAAATTATCATCCACAAGGAGGACTACTCAACCTTTTTCCTTACAGAATTTGAAGATGAAAATTAAATGTTACTCTAATTTAGTCAGACTGCCTCCTTAGTAGCTGCTAACATTGCTCCTCTTCTACCACTTCACAAGAAATGACAGTTTAGCATGCCAAGCTTTAATAAATAACAAAAGGTTTTAACTCTTAAGTTGTATAGGCATCCCTTCGTCACGTTACTATGCTCAATTCGCCAGTGAGCACAGCACACCACCGTCAGAACAGCAAAGAGCCTGAACAGCAAGCTTTAAGGACCACGTCCTGTTCATAGCTTCATGTAAGCAGGAAATTCACATACATACATTCCCAAGAATTCATTTTTTACATAACACTGTCCTTCACATTGTTACATTTCACTATAGTCAGTGCTTTCATCAAGGAAACATTTCCACGTGCAGACAGACAGCAGGACATCCAGAGCTGTTTTGGAGGGCTGCAGATCACATTCTCCCCTTTCAGATCATTTCAGCAAATAACCAAACTCGAAGACCCAGCTGTTGTACTCTGGATAAGGCACTTGCCCCAGATGAGCCATTGAGCACCAGGCCAGTGTGCAAGAACAGTCTGGACGTACCTTTCCTTCAGCATTTATACCTAAAAAGGAATAGTTCTGTAGCAACTGTGCACTTTCAGTCTGATGTGATCCTCCTCCAACAGCTTGAGCAGCTCTATAAACTGCTTCATTCTTCCCTAAACTTACTCATTATGGCCACATTAAGTATTTCAAAAACTTGCAGAGGTTTATACTATAAAGATTCTATTTCAAAATAAACTCAAGGTGCACTTCAAAGGGGCATGCAAGATACTCAATTAGACCTTGTGAAATACTACCCTGAAATTACAATAAAATTTGAATCTGTCCATCAGCAGTTCTTAACCATCTACATAGACAAGTTTGTTTTTTTTTTCCCCCCTCAATCGAGGCCTCACATGATTTCAGTCCCTGAAAAAAAAAAAAAAAAAAGTTGCCTTATGGCATGCATAGTATAGACATCACTAGTGCTACCTGGAAGAGTTCTATCTTCTCTCCTCCTCCCTCCCAAAAGGGTACCATTCTAAAACCCACTGATCTAAATATTTTAAATTCACCCTTTGCTGCATATTCAGCTGCATATTTTTAAAGTTATCCTCTGCTCAAAAGCTTGGAATAGTCTAGGAGTAAAAAAAAAAAAAACCAAACTATTAACTCACCACCAACTGAAGCCTAAGAAGTGAGATTTAGATTCTATCAAAAAGAAAAGCACACCTCACTTCTAGGGTTCTTTATTATTTTGTCAAAGACATTTTAATAGAATTACTCTGGTATTCTTGTCTAGTATTAGATCACAGCCAAAAATCTCAGTTTTAAGAAAAAAACCCTCATTTTATACTGATTCGAACTGCCAGTAGGTTTAAGCACACAAATAATTAATTTTTCCATTCAATGAATGTTCTGCAGTTCTAGTAAGATGAATTATGCGTTTTTGTTCATATACAAAAAGACAGTCTAACAGATGTAAACTATTTATTGAATATTTGCCACCAATATTGTTAAATACATAATCTTGCAGTTTTTCCGCTTTCAAGTTAAAATGTCAGAAACAGAACACCAAATATTTACAATTCTTATAAGGAATGTTACATAATGACACATTAAGGCGTAAATTCTTTTGGCTTATAATTCTGAAAAGAATGATAATAGCAAAAAGTGATGCAAAATCTTCATTGTGAGATTATGATTAAGCTACAATGTTTTACAAAAATATGGTGTAAGATGGCAATAATCCCATTCAAAATCCTGCATTAGGCCCCTCAAGAGGGGCTGATAATTTATACAGTCAAAACTTTAAAATTTACATATAAAGGTACCCTATCCACCATTGAAAAGTACAACTCTCCACATATACAGTTTTCAGGCCACAGTTTTGAAGGTCTGGAGTATCAAGTTGGTTTGATGAATTAGTCGGTTGGCACTTATGAACACATTTATTGCCCTGTTAGAAAAGAAAGATATTGCTTCAGACATTTTTAGAGACATGTCATTCAACAAATACAGCATTAAGTTTGGGCAACTAAATATACTGGCACCTAGGACCTGCAAATTGGAAGCATAATGATGTTCTACCATATTGTGATCTACCTGAAGCTTACCACTGGCAAACAGACTTCTTTGCATAGCTAATCCTAGAAAGACTATGTTTATTGGCAGGAACTTTAAAGACTTTGGCTCTCAATCATCATTGACATTTCAATCATTTAGTTCAGGGGCTTTAGTTAACTAAGAAGAGTGGAGATGATTATTAAATGCCTGTTCTTTTCAAAGCCAAACACATAATTCCCTAGTAATTTCAGAATTTGAAGTGCTCTCAAGACTAGGCATGTGCACATACAGAAGCAACATACTATTTTAATTATATTCTTGTTAAGAAAGAGGTGTGGAGGCACTGAGTTTTTCAGCTCAGTAGTGATGTCTGAGCATGACTCTTTTGTTTAGTGCTGTTACCCTGCTCCCACCAGAAGGTATCTTATTCAACATGCAGTTCAGAGATTTTAATTACTTCTGATTCCACAAGGATCTGAAATACAAGCCTTACCTGGGATTTCTTGCAGTATTGTTAATACCTAACACACTCTAAGCTTATGGCCACAATACACAGTGCAGGGCTAAACACAGCCGGTCTCTTTCAGTATGGTGGGGGTACATGCACAACACATCCAACCCTTTCCCCATTTTTCCAGTCAAATAGTTTTCTAATCAACTGAGACTGTTTAGACCTAGTTCATGTGAAAGCTTATCTATATTATCTGTTTGGCAATCATAAGGCTACCAAGGTCTAAATTTATCATTTTGGTATCACAACCAAATTTAGCCCCAATTTCAACAGGAGGAGAAAAACAATGTTTTGAGAGAAGCAAGGTAGTAGTATTCACAGCTGGTCTTAAGAACTCTCTCCTTTGGTAATGTGCCATCCCCTGTGTGATCGTAGTCTCTGCCAAGCTCAACAAGACCAGACACAAAAGTTCATTCTCATCTTCATAACAGTAGCATGTAGAACATTTTGACACTGTCAGAATCTGAGGGGGATACTCTCCTCATCCGAAACAGTCACTACAGTAAAATATACAATAACAAAACCCAAGGCAAAGACCTGAAAACAGCCTCAGTTTGAAGGCTAGAATGTTCAAATATAAAAAGATTAATCAGCTGAGTAATTCCAAATACTGCAAAGCACTGTAAGGAGTTATAAAGAAGAGGACAATAAAAATGTAAATCAAAGAAAACACTGCACAGAAGTTTAGCATTTGCAAGTGATATTCCAAATTGGTAGATTACTTCTTTCAATAAAGCCTAAGTTTTTTGTCCTAGTATATACACACAGAAAAGTCAGAGGGCCATGAAATTTAGCTTGACATATTCAAGTTCAAAGCTAATACCACACATGGGTGCTGTATGGTGGTGCATTTAACCAACTTCCCTTTCCTCACAGGCATTACAAAAGGAACAGAAGTATTTTAAAGCAGCCATGGTGGTCTGAGGACACAGGTGAGGAAAAAAAATAAGGCACATCCCAAAGAAGATAGCTTATGCCCCAAAGTTTGCTCTATTTTCCTGTTAGTCAACAAGGACTTTCATTATGTAAAAATGTTAGTACAAAAACATACTTACTTTCCATCTTTAAAATAAGTTTTCAGAGTATCACTGAAACTTTTGGAGTATTTTACAAACTCTTTCTTTTGGTGCTCAAGTGCCTAAGAAAACAAAACCACAAGAAACAGAGCCTTATATCACATATTGTTGGGTACAGTGAGAGTCCCAAGGTTAAACTGATAAGAAAATTGGCTAACCTTATATTAGGTATAGAAACTTTTTTATTTTACAAGACATGCAGAGAAATCATCCTCTTCCTAGAAAACTGCTGATACCTAACATACAACAGTATTATGTCACTGACCAGTTAAACTCTCCTATTCATCTTTTGATCAAAAGCATATGCTTCCTCTACTATTAAAAATATTGTATGAAAAGAGTTATTACACATACCCGCCGGTTCTGGTATTGGTATTTCTTGAAGACATTATTTACTGTGTCAAGAAGTTCCTTTATTGCACTCGCGATGTCCCTGTTGGGCAATAAAGACAGTTGTAATATCTGTAAGATATCCCATTTAAATGTTGGAATTTAATCCCCTTCTAGTAGTCAAATATTCTTAAAACAGTCTCCACAGAGTGTCAGACAGGACGTAGCAAAGAGCTAGATCAGTGACACGGGAATTCAAACTAGGACTCAGCCATTCAAGTCTGGTCTAGTAACAACAAAAAAATCTCATTACAAATCTTCAATTCTGTCTGCTCATTTATAAACAAGGAACAGGCTCTTCTTCAACAGGAACAGTGTTGCTAGCATCCCCTACAGCATTTGAATGTTCAAGTCTAAATAAAACGCCTGACCCCTCAAATCTGCAGAAAAATATATAATCCAGTACTTACTTGATTGTCTGAAGAAACCTCACTCTGTCATTGATCTCATCAGGAATCTTACTAAGTATCTGCTTAAGTGCTCGTGCCTTTTCGTTAAGATCTTGAAATTCTGGTTCTGGTCTTTCAATCATATACTCTAACAAGAAGAACAGTGAAAAATGCCATTGGTTTTCCCTCAAGTCTCTAGTAACAGCTAAAAACACTACTTCACAAAATGCAGCTGTATTGCCATGTTACATCTGAAGGTGAACAGCACAAAACCATCCATGACCAGAAAACCGCAGTGAATACTCTGCATCGATAGAAACGCAGTGCAACAATAATCTTTAATATTGCAAGTTGGAAAAAGAGCCCATCTTACTTTGAGACACTGACACTACACTAATTAGATGCAGTATTAAAGCAACTTAAAGCCTACTGTATACGCTCCTCTGACAGAATAACTACTGCTTTTAATTTGAAGCAGAGAAAAGGCAGGTATATACACTCTATAGATACTTTTTTCTGGGTGTTAGCATTGCAAAAGGTGAACTATGCACCCACATAAACATAGTCCTAAACATTCATCATCTTCCTTTCTATTATAAGTATGGGTTTTAGGGAGATTTAACTCCTCCAAAAGAGACATTCAGAAAATACAAATATTATTCCACCATGCTGAAAAACATCTAGTAAGAAACAAATAACGTCTTCTGAAAATAGGCATGTTCCTAATTAACAGTGTAATTAAAGATACATTTATTCAACATAAAAGATAAGATACTACCTTCTACATCATCGGCTGCCATACGCAGCAGAGACTCTGTGAAGTTCACATCCACACTTTTTTTCTCCAGAATTTTCATAATGATGTCCTGTGTAAGACCTGGGTTTTCTTTTTCAGCCTGTATAGCAAAGAAAATTTTTATTCTTAAATATACAAGACCTGAATGCTGGAAGCAGATTTTCATGTACCTTGTTTCATACACTGCAGGAGTTCTAGAAGCTTCAAAAGTCTAATGGCTTTCCACTAACAGATTACATTGAAAACTGTTCTTCTGCTACAACATCCATTTTTCATGGATTACATCAGCAATTTTGTATAAACAACTTTTCCAATCAGCCTTTCAACTCACTTCAATTTGAATAAGAAAGTTTTTCATAAATTCTATGTTCTGTTTTATTTTCATAAACACTAAGCTTTGAGACAAAGATATTGTATCTGTTGGGATTTAATTCACTCAAACACAGGTGCTACTCCCCCATCTTTCACATGACATTTTATAAATGTGCCTCTTATGAATCACATCATATGCTCAAACATCATCTTGGAATTGCTTTTTCAGAAAAAAAACGTTTTGATTGATGACATATCCAAACTAAGCCAGACTAACATTGGAGGTATTCACACTACCTGTGCTGCTATCAAAAAACTATGCTGTGTTGAATAAGAATGAGGGTGGTTTTTTAGCTAGCACTACCATTTCTACCAGTATCTCAGTTTTCACATTATTTGCATTCAGCTTAGCTCCTTACCACCGGTCTTAAAAACATTTAATTTGTATGAGCTCTAGTTAAGACTTAGGACTGTCTAGGTACACTTAGATTTAAGTGTAGAAACAGAGAAGTATTAGTTGTGCAGCTCACATGTTAAGATATATCATGTCTAGAATTATTTTTGTTTAAAGAATTTCAGAAGATCACCAACTGAATGAAGCAAGAAATACCTGTATTTTCATTCTGTGGGGGCATAATAGAACAGATTTTTTTTTTCATTTACTGCTGGATTCAAATACAAACACCGAACATATCCTCATCTACAAAAAAAACCCCATTACCATTCACTTTGCAAACCATTTTCAAGGTCTGCTTATTTCTCATGAGCACCTATTCTACATAATCTTGTCATATTTAGACCAAGTTTATTATCTTATTACCTTCACTGACTGATTCCTCATTTATGCTTTTGTACTACATGGACTAGACAAGATCCTGTTTAAAATTGCTCAATATGCTTGTATCATTCAGATTTCTACTCATAACATTTGCAGATATCTCAAACTTAGAGTCCGTGTAATTGTCCACTTTACTTTTAGACTACTGGATGAAGGATGCAGTCTTCAAACACAAAGACACAAGGAAACAAGACAGCTGACTTTTTAGCTTCATCACAGATGGTTTACCTTTTAAACAATCACTCCAAGACAAGTTACTTCTTACCTTAATAAAAGCTGCTCTCAGTGTCTGAGCTGCAGATAGATTTACTCTTTCTAGCTGCAATAAAAGTTTAGAATTATTAGCAATTCTAATGTTATCAGAACAAAACAAGTCAAGTACTCATGCCTTGCCTTATATAGCACAATGAAAAAGGGACCTGATTGAAGCGTTTAAATTACCGGTCACATTTGAGAGAAACACACTAAAGTTTAATCCCAAAGGAAAGACTTTCCCCCACAAAACAAAAATCAAACATGTCAACGGATATATTTTGCATTTATCCATCCCACAGAAGAAGTCTGACAGAAGTTTTTGAGAACATCTTGACAATCTCCGATACCCACAGAAAAACAAACATCCTATTAAATTATAACCATTAGCAGCAAAATTAAAATGTATCAAGCTGTTCACAGGTACATGTTCAACTGTATGTTACTTCCTGTCACAGAATGCCAAACCTCGCATTTTTGTAAAATTCCTCTATAAAAGGGAACAAAAAGGATCAGGGCCAAACCAACTAGCAATCTTTGACAAGCATCAAATTGTATTTGTGGAAAGAAGGGTAAAACAATGCATAGAAAGAAGATGGTGTTTGACATAAAGCTTTCCCAATCAAGATGAGCAACCTATTACTGTGATAATATATACGGGTGTAAAGGGGATTATTACATTCTAAAACAAAATATAGCTTACCTCATTAAAGACAGGGTACATAACAGCATAGAGAGGCATGGAAACCATAGAAGTGGTCTCTGCTTCATTCTTCATCTCTTCCATTGTCATCCTCATTCAAAGACCCACTTCTCAAGGAAAACACTATAGAAGCAAAAAACTCCTCATTCACTGAAATGTTTCTTCTTTTTCCTCGTTGTGCAAGAATATTTGAACTTGAAAAAATATATTGTCCTTAGGTTGTGCGAGAAAGAAAACAAACACAAAATTATGAATGCTCACGACAGAGGTTCTAAAAATGAAAAGGCACAGAACATCATTAATTTATTACTGCCTAGAAACTAGGAATTACTTCTGACATGAGCCGAGTAAATAGGGAATGGCTACTTCATGTAACTTCAAAACCCTAATGGAAATCTATTAAGTGAACAGATATTTTAACGAGTAAGGTACTACCAAAACATTTTACCCCAAGTTCTTACAGAATTAATTTTCCTGAAATTGATTTTATTTGATCTTGCCACCACTTGCAAGGAATGGCATAAGATGCCCGAGAACTCACGTACAGAAAAAGTTGAATAACATTACATGCGGTGAACCCAAAGCCCATAGAGACGCATTATGACAATTTACCTTGACTACCTATAAATACTCCATATTTTTGCATATGCATTAAGCTGTGATTCTGCTAGAGATCAGAGCCTACTTTCTACCCATGTGAATGCCAAATGCTTTGGGTTTATATAAGCAAAAGTCTTAAGTCATGTTTTCACTCGGGGTGTGTCAACAGCTATGTTAATTCAACGGAAAATTATTGTTCCAGTAACTGAACCCAGGTTTTGGAAGTTCTCCACCCAGCCCAGCTCATCACATCCAACATGGAGCAAACATTGCTCAGACCCAGAAGTGGTAAAGAAAAAAATGTCACCCTACAGTTCATAAGAAATCCTTGTTACAGTCCTGCTATATTTTCTGCTTATAAGATTCTTCAATTGAGTTTAAAGACCTGAAGTCCAAGTTAGGAATAACGATACACAGAAAGAGATTAACATTTTTTCATTTTTAGATGCCAACTGCACCCTGGGCTGCGTCAAGAGAAATGTGGGCAGCAGGTCAAGGGAGGGGATTCTCCCCCTCTAGTCTGCTCTCATGAGACTCCCCTGCAGGGTTGGGTCCAGCTCTGTGGGCACCAACAGCAGAAGGACACGGACCTGCTTGGGCAGGTCTGGAGGAGGCCACAAATATGCTTGGTGTGGGGGGGGGCTAGAGCACCCCCCTGTGAGGACAGGATGAGAGATTTGGGGGGTTCAGCTGGAGAAGAGAAGGCTCCAGGGAGACCTTAGAGCGGCCCCCCAGGGCTGAAAGGGGCTGCAGGAAAGGTGATCAGTGGGTGTAGGGATAAGATGAGGAATAAGGGTTTTAAACTGAAAAAGGGCAGATTTAGATTAGACATAAGGAAGAAATTCTTCCCTGTGAGGGGGGTGAGGCCCTGGCACAGGCTGCCCAGAGAAGCTGTGGCTGCCCCCTCCCTGGAAGGGCTCAAGGCCAGGTTGGACGGGGCTTTGGGCAACCTGGGCTAGTGGAAGGTGGCCCTGCCCATGGCAGGGGGGTGGAACTGCATGGTCTTTAAGGCCTCTTCCAACCCAAACCATCCTGTGAATCTATGATTTATATGGAGTACTTAATACACTAGAGAAGTTTTCTTCCTCCTAATGAGCCTCAGACACCAGGTATTTGTATGTTCATGGACTGATTTTATTGACCTTTTAGTAAAAAGTGAAAAAAAGTGGATTTTTAAGAGCAGAAGCTACTGCAGTAATCAGTATCACTTCCCAATAGTATGAACAGGTTAAAAAATGCCAAGGTATTTCCTCAAGCTATATTCTTCTTTATGCTCTACATTGGCTAAAACTCTCCAGGCTGTTTAAATAGAAGAACAGATATTCTTTTTAATCCAGGGCAGGTATATAGCAGTTTAGCTATAATTATACAAGTGAAATTTGTTATTGATTACAGTAAGCACACAGAACAACTTGGATGACTACAAATATCATGTCTCATCTAAGCATGTGATTAGGGAGTATGAATATACCCACAAGTAAGAAAACAAGTGAAGAACTGGTCAGACTGCAGAAATTGCCAACAGTTAAAATATGACTTGAAGAAAAATTAAACATGACTATAGTAACAAGCAACAGCTCTTTATACGAGTCTTCTGACATAGACTACTTATTATAAAATCTCATCTCTGCGCCTCTTCCTGTTCCAACCTTTCACCATGACATACATGAACAGATTCTCAGTAATGGAACAGGATTACAGACGCTTTAAAAAGGGGTCTGTATGGATATGTCCACACGGATGGAACTGCAGAAACCAGGACTCTCACATTCTTAGCCCCTACCCGTAGATATTTTAGAGCTGTCAAGAAAATAGATGAAAACAAGTGAATATTCATCATCCCTCAAAAAGCTGAATGTCGTTAAAGAACTTATTTCAGAGTTACATAAATTTACACACGATCTACTCATATGGGGTGAACAAACTTCTCTAAAGTTTTCACTCACAACTGCAAGCACAGTCCACTCCATTTATTATACGTGCATGCTCCCTGCACTAAAGACTGTGGCATGTAAGGGGCGGAGTGGATGGAGAGCTGCTTAACTATTTAATTCTGTGTTTCTGGAAGTTCAGTAAAAACAGATACTCATGCAAGATATTACACTAACAAGCACCACTGAAGACAGCATTCACAGATCAATTTACTGTAAGTTTTTAGCTAGAATACTGTATTCTCAGACTAAGTTTTTAAGACATTTAAATCAGGTCATTGAACACTGTTCTAATCTACCCAAAAGATTTTTGATCATAGGAAGAAGGACAAGAAAGGACAAAATAACCATTAGATATAACTACTTTGTTTTTATGGGTTAGCATATCCACAAAGAAAAGGAAATACTAACTGAAATGATTGATTTTTATGATGATGAACACCTATTACACTGTGGACTACCACGAAGAATTAATTTTCTCCTAAAGTCTCATAAGCTATTGTTACTAATCCATGGTGCAGTTAAACCCTCCATATAAAAACAATTATACACCATCTATTACCTCTTTACCAGACACGGACACTCTTCAAACAAAATACAAAACCTTGGACTTTATACTGACACAAAGGAGACAAGTGTTGTGACTGAAGAGGTAGATTTAAATATACCTACACACAAGAAATAGGTAAGAACATCAAGTACTTTCTTTTCATATGGTGGCAATAAAATATATTTGATATATCACACTGGTTACTCCTTATAGGAATAACCAGAAAGGTTTCCAGAAATCTTCCCATTTCCCAGAAGATGCACTAAGTAGTGTCATGCAAGTATCTGACTGCTAACACTGCTGCACTATTTGTCTTTGCAGGTAGGAATCAACTTCTTCACGTCTTTCAGATGCAACTTAGATGCACAGCGGTCTTTGCTAGTATTAAATAGCAGGGATAAAAATCTTCACCAAAAAACCCCCACATTTGTGTTACAGATTTCTCATAGCTGCACTAAACTACCTACAAATTCTTTGAAGGTCTCAATCCCAGTTATGGACTAAATCCCCATGAAAACTGAAGTTTCTGTTCTATTATTTAGATCAATTATTAGAAAGACCACTAGCCTTCAAAATGGCCTGACTAAAGCCAAAGTTTAATGCACATAATAATGTAGCAACTAGGAGCTTTCAGTATTTCTTTTGGTATGTGATCAAAAGCAGACATCTGCATAGCTGCCAAGCTTTGTGACAACACTGTCTTTTAAAAGCTTAACTTCAGTTCACTACAGTCTCAAAAGACTCTTTTATTTGAGTCAAGTGTACCCTAGTTTCATCTGCCAATTGTTTTTTTATGTTCTCAAAAAAAACGGAATAAGATTCCATGAGAAGGTGATCTATCAGAACAGCACCATTTAGCCATGCTGTTCAAAAAATCCTGGCAAATTGCTGCAGATGAAAAAAAAAAAGCATTACACTTCTGGCAAACTTGTTAATTGGTCTGAAGGGAAAGAAAAAAAGAAGATAATAGGATGTTACCAAATCATCATCTGCAGGCAAGCCTGATCTTTTTTTGTTACAGTGACCCCACAGATTTAAATCTGTGTATGTGCCATTAGAATCGCACCTTGTGCTATATCAGATGAAATCAACCATCAGAGAGAACGTACAGAATGATATAGGGAATTTAAAGAGAATCTAAATTTGAAAACTGTGCTAAGATGCCAGTTAATACAATCCTGGCTGCTCAGTCTTAAACTATCGAACATATCAAGCTGTATTGCAGGAGACGTACTGTAACGGAGCATATATTTTCACTGTCAGTATAGATCTTACATTCTAACCTTTGAGTTCCAGTACCAAGATATTATCCCAGGTATTCAGCAAACACTGAAAGAACTGAGGAACAAATTTTAGATGAGAAACAAATTTGGAAGGCTTCTTTGATAACCCTATTCCCCCATATCCATCCAATGACATTTTAAATCACTCAGCTGAACTTTATCAGGAAAACACCTACATTAAGATAAACTTCCTGTAAGCCAAAAAGCATAAATGGCAAAAGCCATTTCCCAAAATGTACAACTACAGTATCTAAGGTGATAATTTGCTTTCTCTCATCTGTGCCATTTAGTGACAGACTTTTGGTTATGCACTAAATTCAAGTGGCCAAACTGCAGAGCTACTTAATAAGAATCAATCGTCACAGGGTAACTCCAGAGTGCGGCAATCTCCCCCAAACCCACAGCTGCTCACTAGCCAGTGTGGAAACAAGCAAGTTATCCATGAAAGGTGTTCATTTAACACTATTATTTTTAAATAGTGTTTAAAGAGAAGAAAGCAGAGTCTCATGACTACAACTTTTAGAGAGTTTTAAAACAACAGAAGCATTAGTTATCAACTAGCAGGATTTTCATCTTCAGTTATGTCATCAGTAGATCTACTTAGGCACTGCTGTCTCTACTCCCTTCTCCAGGCTCCTTAGATATGGAAAACTAAGCACCTAAACATTCATATTCTTTTTTTAGAAAAGTACTGGAGAGGAACAAGGCCTGAGGCAGTGATCTACCAGAATGATTACTTCAATGCTTGGAGTCCAGCAAAAATTGCAGTTCTATTCCTTCTACCAAAGGCTATCCTTATAGCCAAGAAGTTCTGCTTCACTTTTTGCAGTGAGGATTCATGAAAAGGTTTTACTTTTAACCCAATTTGAGACTCCCTGAGTTACCAAAACAACTAATTTAAGTTCAGGAGGAAATAGTGGGGGAAGGAAAACAGCAGCATGAATTCTATACTGAATTCAGAGGCAAAGAGCTTGGCTCCTATTTGTAAGGCCAGTGTGCATGGGAGAAGGGAGTTGAGATAATTTACTAATTACAGTTGCAAATTTTACAAAATAAAAAGAACAGAATATGCTCTTTTAACTATATGCATACCCCACTCATAGCTTAGTAACTAAGTTTCCCTTATTAACAGTCACTTAGAGGAAATAAAAAAAAAAACACACTCCTTTTTCTTGTCAGATGGCAACTTATGTGCCAGAAATGTATTTTAATTATAGATTGCAATTATTTCTATCTATATGGTACAAAGTTTAAAGGCTTTGTGCTTCAGAATCAGAACTACTTTCCTTCTTTTTAAAACTGAAGTGACAGTATGGATCAATTAAATGGAATTGGCATACAGATCAACAGTTATGACAACAATCTCTGTATTTTAAAATCAGTAAAGGTAAAAAGAAACTTAAAAAAATGTACTCTGCTGCACTGATTCCATATTCTACTACCTCTCACACCCAGCAGTTTCACTGAAGAGTTAATAAGCGGAATGTCACCAGAAAATAGCATCGAAGTCTTAAAAGTATCTTTAAACTCCTCTCGCTGGACTAGAGGTATGCAGTTTTCAAACCTCTTCACACATAGTAGCCACTTACAGTTGAGTTCACTCTGACAAAGTATAACTGCTTATGCATTTTATTATTGTGAGAGCAATTCGTATGACTAATTCAGAAGTCACATAAACTTGCAATAAACCCAAGCAATCTATTTTTAGATTCCTATCAACTTTGAAAACAAAATCCAAGCCTAGTAAGGCTTACAATTAAGTCAGGCTTGCAATTAGTTCATATTTTTTTGCAATGCTTAACTTCAAAATAGAAATGGTTTACTCTGTCCTAATACACCCACCTTTAGTGTCTGCCTACCCCCTGAGAAACTACAGG